TGGAACTCACTTGGTAGCCCAGGCTGGCCTCGAACTCACAGAGATCCACCTGGCTCTGCCTCCCAAGTGCTGGGATTAAGGCGTGCGCCACCACCGCCCGGCGGCCCTGGTTAACTTCTGACATTAGACATTTATAGGTTTTTGACAGACACATACTCACAGGTATTCAGCCTAACAGTATCTTACAGAAGCTTCTCTGACCTCTAAGCCCTCGGTGCTCAGTGTATTAATCTCTTCTCCTTTAATGCCTAGCAACCAGTGATCTTTTTCTGTCACCTGCTCGTAGTTTTGCCATTCAGAATGTCATGTAGTTGTTATCACACACTAGACAGCCTTTTAAGAGCAGAATCCGCTCGTGATTTTTCTGCCTTTCTAGACTGTTTGCATTAACCTCATTTTACTTGTGAGGTAGATGGTAGTTGATACCTCAGTGCAAAGGAAGCTGCAACAGAAGCTGGGAAATTTACACTGACATCACATGGGGATGATGCAGCCCTGAGGCAAGGAAGTAGAGGACGTCTAGGTCGGAGACCTTGTTGAGACCAAAGGCAGAGTGCTTACAGGGCTGTGCAGATTTAGGGAAGACTGTGACGTTTTTTCATTGTTGAGGCAGGGTAACAGGGACTAGTTACTATTTTAAAATAACACACTGCTGGAGAGAAGAGGCTGTTGGTGGCCCAAGGAGCTCACTCCAGTTAAGGAGCTGTTGCAACAGCCCAGGCTAGACAGGATCTAGACTCACGGCCATGCCCCGCCCCCCTGAGTGTAGACTAGCTCAGACTTGTTAAGGATGAAATAGAGTGTAAAAAGCAACGAGAAAGCATGTTAGAAGCTTAAATTGATGACTTCAGCCTGATGAACCAACAGAGCAAAAATTGCTATAGCGGAGGAATCTGTGTGGGGGAGGTGGGAATGTTCACATGTAAACGTGTCTATTCCAGGATGCGCTCTAACATTCTATACCGAGTAATTTCAGCGCAAACAGGAATGCACTTTACAATGGTCATACCCACCACTTAAGCTTTACGTCTTACTGTCCCATCTATCCGCGCTGACGTCATCTTATCTTATTTCTGCATTGTATTTAAATATCCTCAAAGCACACCTTCCTGGATTCACCTCAGCATGCACCCAATTTGTTTCTATTGTCAGTTGATAAAAAATTTACATGCAAGGTGAATTGCACCAATCTTTAGTTATACGTTTGCTGAGTTGTGAGAATGCATGTACCTGTCCACATCCTAAACTGAGAGGTCAAGGGTCGTAACCAAGCCCGCTGCTGGATCTGAGAATCCAGTCTTCACTGGAAATGTAAATGCGAGGATCACCTTACATACGTCTATTTAAGCGATGAGCTTGAATGGAAACACCTAAGAGGATAGCAGAAAGAAAGGACACATCGGTGTCCCCGGTGTCCTCGGCGCTGGGGGCGGTCGGCAGGACAAGCTAGCCAAGCTCCGAGTCCTGGAAAGCTTGGCGGCTGTGAACCATGTGGACCGCGGAGGTGACGAGATTGGTTAGCGCTGGGGGAGAACATAGAGGGGGAGGGGAGAAGAACACCTTTAGCAGTCCGAGATCAGTTGGCGGGGTTGGGTACTGGAGATGGGGGTGCTACGAGAGGAGCTGGAGAGGGAGGGAAGAGGTGGAGTGGGCGGTGCCAGAGCCCGGAGGAAGGCGCGGCCAGGGCCTGGCTGATGCCTGGACAGTAGCGGTGCCTGGAGAGTAGCGGCGGGAGAGGGCGGGGCCCACAGGGTCAAGTCTAGGAGAGGGAGGGGGCGTGACCAAGGGAAGGGGGCGGAGCCTGGCGGAGGGAGCGTCCAGAGTAAAAAGAGAGGGCGGGCCTGAGGAGGAGCGGGCGGGTGTGGACCGAGCATGGTGGGCGGGGCCTGCAGCGAGGAAGCGGGCGGAGCCAAGA